GAGCAAGACCTTGTCTCAAAAAGACAAAAAAAAAAAAAAAATTACAGTGATACATACATACCCATGTTTACAGCGGCACAACTCCTAATAGCTAAATCTTGGAAGCCGCCTATATGCCAGTCAACAGATGAATGGATAAAGAAAATGATGTGGTATTTTCCCACAATGGAGTATATACCATAAAGAAGGATAAACTGCTGGGTGTGGTGGTGCATGCCTGTAATCCTAGCACTCGGGAGGCTGAGGCAGGAGGATCATTTCTAGTTCAAGGCCAGCCTGAATTGCATAGCAAGACCATGTCTCAAAAAGACAAAAAAAAAACTAAACAAACAAACAAAAAACCAAAGGATAAGTTTCAGTCATTTATAGGAAAATGGATGCATCTTGAGACCATAATGTTAGTAAAATAAATTAGACACACAAGCTTAAATATCACATGGTTTATCTTATATGAGAAACCTGAAATATAAATGCCGATCAAAACAAGATAGATAATAAGAAACAGGGAGATGGATCTTTTACAAATGAGAAAAGGACCAAGAGCTGGAGGGAATAGGGAGCGAAGGAAGGGGAAAGGGATATAAAAAGATGTGCTATGTGCACGTACCAACTCAGCACAATGAATGTAATCAGATGTACTGTAGATGTACATACTAATAAAAGTTAAGGGCCGGGGGATAGAGCTCCGTGACACGGCACGTGCCGGGCAACCACAAGGTCCTGAGTTCAATTCCCAGTACCAAAAAAAAAAAAAAAAAAAACTTAAAAAAAAGGAATAGACAAATAGATCAAGGGGACAGGATAGAGATCCCAGAATAGATCTGCCTTAATACAGTCAACAGATCCTTCCAGAGGAGTTAGGCAATACAATGGAACGAGACAGGTTATCTTTCAACAAATGGCACCAGCACAACCCCCACCCCAAGTCACAAATCTGGATGCACACTTTACATCCTTCACACAAGTGAACTCAAAGTGGATCATGGATTTATGTGTAAAACACGGAAGTATAAATCTCTTAGAACAGGAAAAAATCTAATTTGGGGCATAGAGATGATTTCAGATACCAAACACCACAGGGACGATCCTTATAGAGAACAATTAGTAAGCTGGACTTCAATAAAATTAAAACGTTTAACTCTGTGAAAGATAATGTCAAGAGAACCAGAAGATAAGCCACAGAAAATATTTGTAAAAGATACATCTGGAAAAGGACTAGCATCCAAATATACAAAGAGCTCTTAAAGATCAATAGTAAGAAAACCACCAATTTTTGAAAGCTGGCGAAAGGGCTGGGAGTATCACTCTGGCAGGCTCTGTGAATAAGGTCTAATGTGAGTACGGCTCTGCTTTGATCCCCAGCACTTTGAAAATATTGAGCAATAGGGCAGGGCGGATGCACATGCTTGTAATTCCTGCACTCAGGGAGGCTGCAGGCAGAGGGCTGCAAGTTTAAAAACAGCCCAGGCAACTTTACAACCTCCAGAGACTGTCTAAAAAGGGAGGTGGGGGTTGGGACTGAGATGCTGCACAGCACAAGGTTCTGGGTTCAATCTCTAGTACTGCAAAGTAAATAAATTAGCTAATAATAAATAAAAGTCAATGTTAAAAGCCGGGCATGGTGGTACATGCCTGTAGTCCCAGCTAGCTGTAGTCTAGCAAGAGGACCACTTGGTCTTAGAAGTTTGAGGCCAGCCTGGGCAACATTGCAAGATCCTGCCAAACAAAACAAAACAAGCCAGGTGTGGTGGTGCATGCCTGTAATCCCAGCACTTGGGAGGCTGAGGCAGGAGGATCGTTGTGAGTTTGAGGCCAGCCTGGGCTACAAAGTGAGCTCAAGTTCAGCCTGAACTGCATAGCGAGACCCTGTCTCAAAAA